CTAATATAGGCTCTACATGTACATTCCTATTAAACATATTTTAACATTAGTGATGTTGTAAGTAAGAATTAGAACCAATAGGAGGAACCACCAGAAAGAGGAAACAAAACACAACAGAAGAAAAAAAAAATAGCAAATAGTATACTTTGATCTGCATTCAAACTCTATAGTTCTTTCTTTGGATGTGGATAGCATTTTCCATCATGAGGCCTTTGGAGATGTTTTAGATCCTTGAATTGCTGAGAAGGTTTAAGTCTATCAATATTAGTCATTGCACAACATGACTATTACTGTGTATGACGTTTTCCTGGTTCTCCTCACTTCACTCAGCATCTGACCATACAAGTCTTTCCAGGATTTTCTGAAGTCTGCCTGTTCATCATTTCTTATAGCACAGTAGTATTCCATTGCATTCATATACCACAACTTGTTCAGCCATTCCCCAACTGATGGGCATCCTCTCAATTTCCAGTTCTTTGCCACCACAAAAAGAGCTGCTATAAATATTTTTGTACATGTGGGTCCTTTTCCCATTTGTATGATCTCTTTGGGATATAGCCCTAGAAGTGCTACTACTGGGTCAAAGAGTATGCACATGTTTATAGCCCTTTGGGCATAGTTCCAGATTGCTCTCCAGAATGGTTGGATCAGTTCACAACTCTACCAGTGATGCATAAATGCTCCAATTTTCCCACATCTTCTCCAACATTTATCATCGTCCTGTTTTGTCGTGTTGGCCAATCTGATAGGTGTGATGTGGTACCTCAGAATTGTTTTGATTTGCATTTGTCTCATCAGTAGTAACTTAGAGCATTTTTCATATGACTATAGACAGCTTTAATTTCTTCATCTGAAAACTGCCTATTCATATCCTTTGATGTTTCATCATTTTTATGGCACAGTAACATTCCATTATGTTCATGTGTGACAATTTGTTTAGCCATTCACCTGTAGGAGGATAACCCCTTTAGTTTCCAATTTTTGACTACCACAAAAATTAACTGCTATAAACGTTTTTGTACATCAAGGTCCTTTTCCTTATTCTTTTATTTTTGCGGAAAGGAAGCCAATAGTGGTATAGCTAGAACAAAGAGTATAGATGGGTTGTTAACACATTAATTTTTCACTATCTCCCCAAGTGATGGACACTTACTTTGTTTTCAGTTCATTGTTGCTATAAAAATGTTGCTGTGAATAGTTTGGTGTGTATGGGATGGTTTTGCCTCTCTTTATCCTTCTTTGGACATATGCCAAACAGTGAGATCTCGGGATTGAAGAGTTAGTACATTTTGGTCTTTAAGTGGTACCATCTTAAAGATCATTCTTGTGTGTGGGAGATGAGTACCTTCTGGCAGGAGAGCCCAAGGAAGCATTTCTCTGGATCCTTGGGTCAGTCAATGCTTTCTCCGTTGGCAGTGCTTTTTTGTTTTGATGATGGGCTGTGACGCTAGCTCTCTCAATTTGAGATATTATAAAATGTTACTGTCATGGCTGCTTATTTTCAGAGGCTGTGCCATACACAACTTCTAGTTAGTTTTGAAGAGCCAGTTTTGCTTTTTTTTTACCCACAAGTTTTTGCTTTTTGTGGGAAGTATTGACTCATTCAACAACATTTATTAAGTGCATGCTGTGTACCCAACACTGCTCCTAGGAAGTGATTTGAAGATATAAATAGCTGTCCTGCCGTGAAAAAGGCTACTCTCCTATGTGGAAACAACATGTGTATGTCCAAGTGAATACAAAAGAAATGTAAATGTAATATATCTGGAACACTACTGTGCTATAACAACTGAAATCATCAGGAAATGCCACCTTAAGCAGAATGTTTCTTGAAGGAGTCCAGGGGTTTCAAGATCAGAGGTGAGGAGGGGACAGCCTAAGGCTTGGAGGCAGTAGGTGGAATGTGGTGAAGGGACAATCATATGTAGGCCCATGGAGCTTCACAAAGAGTGTGTTGATGAGACTAACTCAGCCTGGCAAGATAGCCTGGACTTCAAATATCAGACAGCCACGTGACACCTAACAGAGTATCCACAGTGCTAGGAACTAGTGTATACTGCTATTTATTTAATAATGCAGTCAAGTAACACTGTGCCCTCAATTTAAGCATTCCAGTGACTTGAGTAATTAGTCATAACACAGTGTCCACTGTGTCTGTAATGTTTTGTCCTTATATCGTATAGGATACTGTTCCTAGAACCAAAAAGAGAGAAAGTCTTGTTTTCTTCTTCCCATGTAACACTCTCTTGAGGCATGCTGGGGGGGATGGTTTTACTATAATGTTTATTTTGGTTTCTCTATATGTTCTTTGCTGTTTATTTTTAGTTATTTTTTTTCCAGGGCGGTATTATATTTAAACACTTTAATTTTTACTGGAAAGCAACAGTGTAAAAAAGAAATTTTCCCAGTGACTCTGCTTTTCTTTGTGATCTTAAAACTTGTTTTTTCAGGAAGCCTTAATCCCAGATTTTCTTTGTTTTTTGTTACTGTTATTTTCTTAGAGGAATAGCTCATCCTCAGAGTTTGTTTATTTTAGCAGTCAATTACTGCTAGAAAGAGATGATGTTGAATAAAAGGTTTGTTATGCCTTAAGCAAAATGATATTATTCTTTTATTCTATTTCTTTGTTCTTGCATTTCTTCTTTATACTAATTTGCGCATTCTTTTAGCATTTTATGGATTGGTCTGGCTCTTGTGTGCCTCACATTGAACATGTTTGGAGCCTCCCTATTCTCCCTTGTGAAGGTGAACTAAAACAGTTTGAACATTATTCTCTGCCTTTTAATGTATCTGTTGTTGCGGGACTACGTTATAAATGATACTGAGTTTCTCTGTGATCCTGAGTGTCATTCCCAGTTTGAACATTTCAAGATTATTCTCTGCCTTTCAATGTATTTATTGTTGTGGCATGTGTTGGGACTGCTTAATAAGTGGTATTGACAGCAGTTTCTCTGTGACCTTGGGTGTCATTCTCATCCTGTTCAGGTCATTAACAGATAGTACTGAGTCAGAGCCCTGAGTTCTTAGAGACGGATGGCTCTGCTATAACTTCTGCGGTGTGTAGCTTTGCTTTTATCCCTAAAACTAATGAGTTTGCTAGATGAACATTCAAAGCTGAGTTTTTTCTTTGGGAAAGCACTTATTTGTTCTGTTTTTTCCCCAGTCATCTCATTATTTGATTTGCAGTGAATTCTGTTTAGTTGCTAATTTTGTCTTGGGGAGAAAAATGGAAAGCAATTTTTAGGTATTCTTTTCTTAGATTTTGTCTTTTAAACAAACCTCTGTCATGCTGTGATAATTTAAAGAAAAGCTTTCATCTTTAAATTATAATTATATTGTTCACATGTGATCTAGTGTTAGCTTTGAACCATTTAGAAGTAGAAATTATTCAAAAGAAAGATTTAAATGGAGAACTTTCTGTTTCAGTGAATTTGTTTTTAGAAAAGGAAATACTAGGGGTAGCTAGGTGGCGCAGTGGCCCTGAAGTCAGAAGGACCTGAGTTCAAATCCGGCCTCAGACCAAACACTTGACACTTACTAGCTGTGTGACCCTGGGCAAGTCACTTAACCCCAGTTGCCTTAAAAAAAAAAAAAGGGAAATACTAGAATTGCTAGAAACTTAATTGAACTCACTGTTTAAAAAAATAGAGGAAATCTTTTCATTTAGGGGAGAGAATGTGTGAGTGAGTGAGTGTGTGTGTGTGTGTTTATACAGGGAAGAGGGGCAGCTTGGTGGCATAATGGATAGAGTACTGGGCCTAGAGTCAGGAAGATCTGGGTTCAAATCCAGCCTCAAATGCTTATTGGCTCTGTGACCCTGGACAAGTCACTTAACTTCTGTTTGCCTTAGTTCCTCATTTTTAAAATGGGAATAATGAGGCTCAAATGAGATAATGTTTGTAAAACTTGCCTATCCCTCCCCTCTCTCAGATTGTTGGTGAAAAGCCAGTTTTATATATTCTTTGCCATGATAATCTGTAACATGTATAAGATACTTCCTCTTCTTGAGAAAAGGTTATGTATAAAATAAAGTTCTTACATGTTATGAATTATTCTTAGTATTTTATGTATCTTATCATAAATTTATAGTTTTACATTTACATTTTTGGAAATTTGAGTCATTTTATTTGTATGTATTTAATGAAACATTTTTTATATTTCTTAATGTTAGCTTAGTAATGCCAGATCATTTCACTTTAGTTTTACTTTAATACAGAAACAGTAGCTCCCAATAATTTGCTTCCAGAGAAGTGTTCATTATCTACATTCTACCATGGTTCCTAATTCAGATGAATCAGATTGTTTATTTTTCCTATTTCACATATAGTTCTACCATCTTAAAAATTCAGTACCAAAACTTAAATTTTATTTAACTCTACTTTAGTAGAGATCTTTTTGAAATTTCTTAGTATGCAAACATTTTCTTTTAATTAGTCTACAAAAGTGCTGCTGAGTCCATCCATCCCAGCCCAGAGTCAGAGTGATGGTAACTGCTGGCCCAGAACATCATTAAGAAATAGATGTAGAGGGGTAGCTAGGTGGCACAGTGGATAGAGCACGGGCCCTAAAGTCAGGAGTACCTGAGTTCAAATCTAGCCTCAGACCAAATACTTGACACTTACTGGCTGTATGACCCTGGGCAAGTCACTTAACCCCAATTGCCTTGGGAAAAAAAAAAAAAAGAAATAGGTGTAGGTTCAGCTTCTTGTTAATTCTTCCATTCTCGTAGCTGCCCTTTTTTTTTTTTTTTTAATCATTCTGGCCTCTCTTCCTTCATTGCTCGGCCAACACCTACCCCCCACCCCTTTCCTCCCATGGTTGCATCTGGTTGAAGGGCTCCCTTGGAAGTGCAGGCTGATTTGTTGTTTCACAGCTACACATGCTTAGTGTTGCATATCAAATGATGTTTTTTGCATGCATGTTCTTTTGTGTTTTGCCTGTCAGATGTCAGCTAATAAATATAGGATAAGCAACAGGGATCTTTGTTTTTATTCTTACAGTAACAAATACTTTTAAGAGAGATGAATTTGTTACTTCAAAAGCTCCTACTGTCGACCTAGACCACAAGTTTAGATGCACGTTCATGGACTGTTTAAAATTCTTCCGCAAAGCTAAACTCCTGCACTATCACATGAAATATTTTCATGGAGTGGAGAAGACACCAGAACCTGAGGAGAATTCAGTGAAGAGGCACGTCCAGACAAGAAGTTCTTTAGCGTCTGAAAAGTCCAGTCAAGATGGTCTTACCAGAAAGCGGATCACCTCTAGTTCCTTGCGTAAGTATCTGGGTACCATATTGATTAACAGAGAGTTCCTGATGCCCAATTCTTATTGACCATTTTTCTTTCTGCTGGTAGAAGTGGAAAGCATGCATTGAGGTCTTCTGCCTGTTTCTCTTATTGATTACCAGGGCAGTGACCACAGTATTAGAATTGCCAGCCAGCAGACTGTGGCCTGTTGAAAGCATTGCCTTCAGAAGCAAGAGGCCAGAGTTCTGTTCTGTTCTCCTCTGCTTCCTGTTTGGACCTCTCTTAGGCAACACATCTGTAAAATGGACATCCTATCTGACCCACTTGAATGAAACTGAAATCCTGGATAATCTCCAGTTCTGGGATCTATGATTTAGATAATTTAGTCAACTAAATTATTTAAATAAATAAATTTAAAAGCACTGAGCTTTCTGTGACCTGTGCTTTGCTTTTTCCACAAATATATTAAGTTTTTCATTGAGAAATCCCCCGTCAACCTTATAGTAAGCCTTTCTGCAGATTGTGTAAGTGCTTCCCAGGCTAACACAGTGCCTAATGTACATGTGCTTAGTGAAGCATGTGCAATTTTGTTTGTTGTAAATCCCTCCTGAAGCATTACCTACATGCCGCTATGAACTCTTTGCTGAAAAGTGTCTTCTCTGCTTCCATCGTGTTTCAGATGCTACAAGGACTGCTAGGATGAGGAATAATACAGCAGTGATCTGAGTCTTGCTCAGATTTCATGTATAGTTTTACTAAGGTGTCCTATTGGGTCTTTAATTCCCTGGAATTGCTGTAGACAAAATTCTCTGACAATATTGTTTTATTTAAAATGAGCTGCCAACTATTCTGAGAGTTCTCTAGTCGAGATACACACACACACATATATATATATATATATGTTTATATTTTAGCATCGATGACTCAGTTGTGGTTGCCTGACAGCCTGTGTAAGTTCTCAGAACCTTCTGAAATAGCCCAGGCAGTACCCCTGGGGGAGGATCTTCAGAGCCTGCTGGTGCTGCCCTTCCGCAGCTGCTCTGCCTTTGCCTTACCTTCTTCATCTTACCACTACTTTTCTCTTCTTTACTTTGTCTCCTCTAATCTCCATTCTTTGAGTCAGGTCAGATCAACCTCTGTAATGTTGCTGGGGTCTTGTGATCCTAATAGAATTTCTAAACACCTTATCTTGGACATATAAGCATTTGGAATAGTGTTCAGTTTGGTAGCATTTTCTGACTTTTTGGTTTAAAGTTGTTTAAATTTGATTAAAGATGGCCTTAGATTTATTTCTGTCTTTTATCATTATTGTAAGCTGATAAATTCTCTTAGAAATAAGTACATATTGCTTAGTTTAAAAAAAAAAAGATCGTTTGCTGAGTGATGTTGCTTGCTTTTTTGAAGGGAAGAGTAGCAACTCATTCCCATTTTATTAGTTGTGCCATCAGTTTTATACTGTATTCAGCACTAGTAGAGTCGCTTAGTGGTTGGGGGACTGACTTTGGAATCAGGAAAAACTGGCTTCAGGTCCTGCTTCTGACAGTAATATTTGTAAGTTTATGTACAAGTCACTTAAATTCTCCCTCCCCATGGCAATTCTCTTAAGAGTAAGTGACTAACAGTACTCTAATTTTCACTGGTGGACTGGGAGGGAGTTTTCTTCATTGACGAAATCACAGATCTGGAGGCTTCTCCTTCACCTTTTCAAAACCGACATATGCTACATAGAAATACGTATTAAATGACACAACTGTAGAACCCTTCCCACTCTTTACTTCCACCTAGTCTCCTTCCCTCACTGATCTTCATTTCCTCTTATGTAAAATAAAGTGTGCTCTTTATTTTTAAAGTTCTTTTTAGCTCAGTTCTCTTCCTCCTACTTCAGCCTCTGCCAGATCTAAATATAGATCCATCAATGAATGCATTTCTTGTTGATGAAACGCAATGTGGGCTTATATGTGAGAAGATATCTTAGGTGCTTGTAAAAGGCTCCTTGACCTGCTGGCTTTTCCTAGGGACTTTCTCACCTTAGACATTGAAATAAGGTGAATCTGGCAACTTAATGAAAGAAAGAGTTTAAAGGGAATAGGAGGCAGCATGATTTAAGTAAAAGAAGGAGGGCATGAAAAGCTTCTGGACTCATGAATGGGTAATTTTTTGGAAAATCACTTTACTTTTATCAGAAAACATTCAGAAATGAATAACAAAAGCAAGCTTTTTTCCCCTTCTTCTGAATATAATGCTTTTTGTGCTCTTGGGGTCTGGGAGGAAGAAAGGAAGTCAGTCTGGGTCAGGTTAGAGGACTAAGACTGCTTTGCTCCGGTGTTGAGGAATCTGGTTCTAGACTGTTTGCTGGAGGCAACGACAATTAAATCTTCCTTAGACTAAGTGGGCAAATTAAAAAAAAAAAAAAAAAAAGCCCACCTGTAATGGCTTTTAAACTCAGAGTGCCATGGACCTACTCCTGGAAGAGATAAGTGGGCAAATTAAAAAAAAAAAGCCCACCTGTAATGGCTTTTAAACTCAGAGTGCCATGGACCTACTCCTGGAAGAGACCTTAAAAGCCATAGAGGCCAACTCCCTCCTTTTAAAGATGAGGAAACTAAGGTCCAAAGAGATTGGCACTTGCCTGAGGTCTCAAAGGTCATTAGTGGCAGAGATGAGATTCAAACTAAAATCCTCTGAGGCCAAAACCAATGCTTTCACTAATGTTGACAGATATTTGAGGGAGAACAGTGTGGAGCCCACCCATGAGGCAGCAGTACAAAGCCAGCAGCATGCTGAGTAAGCTATAAAGGATGATATTGCATCCCGCCAGAATATTTGGCATCCTGACAGAAGCAACAAGGACTATCCTTTTGGGTAGGGTGGGATGTGGGGAGGGAGTAGTGCTGTTCTGGGAATATTCTAAACCTTGGAAATCACAACCCAAGAATAGTCTATCCTTTCTTTTCCTTGGATTGTAAAGCTTTACTTTGGAAGAATGAGGTCTGAGAGACCTGTGCCCGCCAGAAGAGATTTCTCTGGGCCATGTCCTGTTAGCGCTCATGGGCCTACATGGAAAGGTCTCACTGTGTAGCATAGGATAACAGACGATGACGACGACAACAACAACAAAACCCTACCTCATTAGGCCAACAGGTACTTCATGTAGTTGCTTTAGGTTGGGAACACTTAGGTAAACTATTCTTTTCTCATGGATAGGAGAGGGGTAAACTATCTCCCTACCTTTACATAGCTTGCTTCCTCCCTTTGGAAAAATTCAAGAACAATTAATGTATTACAAACCTTCCTTTACCTCTGAAAGAGAGAAAACAAATTAGCTACTTGTTAAATATTTGAGAGGAGTGATCATTTATTACCTGAATCCTCTTGAGAAGAGGGTGGGGCAGTGAGGCGGTGGGGCTTGGTAGGTCTTCGTAGGTCTTCAAGTAGCTGAAAAGCTGTCCTTGGGACATTGGAGCAGATTTGTTTTGTGTAGTTCTAGAGGTTATAGCTGGGTAAAAGTTATGGGGAGGTAGAGTTTAGCTCAATATGAGGAAGACTTTGTAACAGAGGAGGGGGTGGCTTTGTGGTACAGTATTTCTTCTGTCACTTGAGATAGCCAGCCCTTTGATGGCAGAGGCAGGGCTGTCACTGTAGGTGCTTCATAAATGTTTGTTAAATTGAATTGGTGTTGTAAAAGGAATTCATTCATTCATTGGTCAACTTTCAGATTCTATGATTCTCTGACAATAAAAGTATATGTTTGTTAACTTTGATCTTACACATTGGTCTCGTAACCAAAATTGCAGTGATTGTGGAAAAACAGGTCCTCTTATCCACTGTGATTGTAGAGGATTCTAGTCTTAGAGAAAATAGCACATGCCACTCTTAACTTCAGGATGGGCTGTACTTTTTTTCTTAATCCAACGTGAAAAATCCAGAGTGTGGCCTATGACCTATGTTATTTTTTAGTGTGTGCATACATAAATGTATTTCTTTTCCTTTTCAAAGAGATTCCATTTTAGAGGTGTGGATTAAATTCAGACGAGTGAGGTGAATGTATATTTATAAAATGATTGCCCAGTTTGTTTTGTAGGTATTTGAATAACCACCAGCTATCCCTGGAGTTAGCTAAGCCTTGCCTTTACTGGGTTGTTTCTGTACTATCTTGTGTTATTTTGTTTAAACAAAAGAGAATTATAATTTGAAACTATTAAAACATTGCATAAAATTCATATCCCATTTCAAGGAAATATAAAGATTATATAGTTTCTTTCATTGTGAAGGAATATAAAATATTAAATATTGAAATAAGTGGGCCAGGAGCTGAGGCTTAGATGCCTTTGTTTTACATGGAGAATTTTGTTGTAGTGATCTCTTTTCTGATGGAACACAGAACATGGCCTCAGTTTACCACATTGAGCTGTACTGTATTACCAAACACTTCCAGAAAAAAAAAGTTTTAAAACCAAGATGTGCTTTATTTTGTTTCCTTGGACAAGGGGGTCAGTTCTGGGGCAACAGGCCAAGTGGGGCACGCTAGGCCTCTGGACTTCCCCTGGTTGGGGTACAGCCTGATCTCTCCCATTCCCGCTCAGGTGGAGAACAGAGATCTTTGCAGCCTGGAAGGAAAGGAGAGATCAGCAGCCAAGTGGAAGCAACACCTCCATTCATGTAAGTTCACACACCTCATTGGTAGGATAATCACAAATTGGAAGAATCATAGAATCTCAGAGTTGGAAGGGGAGGGAAGGGACCTCAGAAATCATATAGTCTAGCATACTTATCTTGCAGGTGAGGTCCAGCAAGGGGAAATTCCACTTGCCCAGTGAAGGTCACATGGGAAGCTAATGTCAGAGATAAGACTAGAACCTAGGTTTCCTGGCTTCTGGCTTTGTATTCTTTTTGCTGCAACATAGTATCATCTCCAAGTTCATAAATTTTTTTTTTTTCCTACACTGAAGTTCCAGGACTTCCAGATATATAATAGGTCTATAGGAATTAAAGTTTCCGTTTATCAATCAGGCAGATGGCTTGGCCCT